AATGTTACCTTATGTTACTGGTTTAACTGCTTTATTAAGTCTACTTCAATATTTTAGGACAATTAAAAATCAGTACTTATAAGCAACATTATTTGTTCTACCTAAATCAATAATATACTTTATTTTAAAAAATACTTATTTTTATTTGCATTGCTGAATCTATAGTTTTATAACTAATAAAAGCAAAACCTTGATGTTCTCCAAAAGTAAATGTCAGTAAAGCTTTTTCTCTCAATTTTTTTCTAATTTAGTATGTTTTCCTTCAATTGTGCATTAGTAGTATACAGTATAATTCTGTTTAAAAAAAAAGTCATCCCCGGAAAAGTCAGTGTTAAAAATCTTCTGCATAATTGTTTCTATGGCTAATTATATAACCAGACATATCAAGGGCGTAATTACATTCTTCAATGACTTAGCTCCATTAGAATTTCAGAGATGACACAAAATACAATGAATACAATTATGTATTTCATATTCTGTGTGTGAAGTATGTTTCTTTTTGTTGTTTTTGTGCATATATGTTTGATTCCAAACAACCAATTTTCAAAAAATATCTAACTAGCTTTTTAATATATATAACATATAGAGCAAGTAAAACAATTAACTGCTTGTATATTGGATTTTCACTTTTCAAAGGATTTTTTGGTGACATGTAAAAACAGTGCTAGAGCTGTTAATTGCTTCAGATTCAGTGCCCATGCTGAAGTAGAGTTTATTTTTAAAACCAGATCCTAAAGAAATAAATTGTAGATATTTTGAAAATACAACCTTCATAACATTGAAAATCTGGAGGACTGATTATGCAAAGTGGTGGGAATAGACATAACAAAAGGAGACCTTCCCTCAAACCCTTACCCTACTTTCGATGGGCAGAATATTGACCTGGATCTGTAGATGGCTGTTGTGAGACCTCGGTTCTTCTTAGCTTAAAAGAATTTAAATGAGAGACCCACAGCAAAGGAGATGTAGCATAGAGCAATTTATTGCAAAGGACAAAGAATGTTATGAAAGTTAGGTACAGAATAGATAGTACACCCTGAGAGAGGATTCAGGGCGAGCTGCTCCTAAGGATGAGACCACCAATACTGGCACTAGGGAGACTCCCTTTATGAGAGTCTTACATAATTATTCATAAAGGAATGGGAAGAGGTGTTGCTAGTAAGCATAATCTTGGTGGTCCTCTGGGTGCACATGCACAGTAGCTGTACATGCTTGTTCATACATTGCATGTCTCATTAGCATCTTAAATCTCTGTCCAGGGGTGTGTTGTTTACTATTATAATGAGCAAAGGGTCAGTCTGAGGACAGGTGTAATCAAAATGCATGTGCTCCCTGCAGGGGAAATTCCCTACTGTAGATAGCTGTGTTTGAATGAGCTGGACTACAGTGTGAATGCTGGGGCTTATTGTGTTAACTGTATGGTCGTCGTGTGAGGACATGTTTACTTCCTTGACTACCTATCCTGCCTCAGATCATCTCACTCAAATTCCCTCTGTGTAAAAGAGCAGAGATATACTGATGGAGAATTTGGAATATTAGGTGATCATTTACAAAGTTGTTTGCATACCTTAAAAGGAAGCCATTAAATACTACATTTTTGGCTCATTAATAATTTTATCATGTCTAGTTAATCTTTTAAAAGAGCTTAGCAAAACAGACTAAACTGTATCAGTGTTAACAATAAGAAGCCATAAGATTGATACATTTTCCTTAAGAACAGAATTAGAATTCTCCTAACAGAATTTTTTAAAACATATTGAATGATTATAATAATCATAAAATTTAGCTGGACAAGGAGGGAAGTTTCAGGGACAGAAGGTGACTGATAGATACTGAAAAGTAGTATGATAGGTATTAATACATTAAACGAGGAAGAATTGTTGGACTTGGAGTACTGTAGGTAGTGTGCTAGAAATACAAAAGGTGGTAGTTGGTAAGTTGGATATTTAAAGGGATTGCAGCCTTTGCTGATGAGACTAAGCATATGACCATAGGAATGAGTGTGAGAGAGAACCTCAAGAAACTGAAAGACCAGACTCTCAGAGGGTGAATATTGAAGTCACCAAGAATTATGACAGAAGTAAGTGTGAGTGCCTGGGTTTGAATCCTGATACTATGTACTTAACAAGTATATGTCCTTGGGCAAGTTATATAACCTTAGTTTCCTCATCAGTTAAAATGAGGATAATGATAGTATATTTCTCTGAATTATCAAGAGTAAACAATTTAATCCTTATAAAACTGTTACTATGTGCTATATGGCAAATGACATATAAATGTTTGTACTATTATCATAATCATAATAACCATTATTATTTGTACGATCCAGTCCTGTGTGAGTCTCTGCTTTTCATTCACTAGAAATTCAGTAAGCAACTATTTCATGCCAGGCATTGTGCTAGGTATCCTGTTAAAACTTTTGAATTATTTTCTTTGGCTGTTTTAGGCTTCAGGAATTTCAAGTGGAACAGAAATAATATACTGCAGCCTCACCAAAATAAAAGTTATTATTGAAGTATTTGCCATGAGTTCTCCTTGCTGAAGTGAAATGCTGTTTAGTAAGGATACAGACCCAGGGGGAAATGGGACAAACCAAAGCTGTGATTACTTGGATCTATATACTGGACAGGCTTACTGTAGCAAAAGAGATGCTTAGCAGCAGACTCAGCTATAGGACATGAAAGAGAATCTAACCATATTTTTGAGACATGGTGGTGTCCAAAATGTATGGGGATAGGAGATAGGAAGCAGCAAAGATATAAAGTTATTCTTGTGGTGTTCCAACATGAAACAGTGGGTTAATGACTGGTAGTCAGGTTAAACACAGAAAGCTACCATCTTGGAGGTTGGCTATCAAGATATAGACACTTGGGCACTAGGAAATAAGATAGAGATCCAGTTACTGAGTAAAATCACTTATATGATTATCTTCTTTGTAAAAAAAAAAAAAAAAAACACTATACCCTTAAAGTCTGGGGTTCCTGAGAGAGCTAACCTAGGCTATTAATTATTATTTATAAAAAGTACCTTAAGTTTGCTTTATCACCTGGCCAATAGGCAGTTTCACCTTCTGGCTCAAAACACATTTTCTCCATCTACACAAATGCCAACCATAATGTTGCATAAGAGTGAGTGTGTTTGGTAGACCTTAGCTAAAAATCAGTGTAAGTTTGAGCAGATATGGGGAAGAAAAACAATGTGATGTGAACTTTGTTCTCTGTGTTTAGGCAAGCTACGACCTATATCTATGCCAGTGGAATATAATTGGGTGGGGGACTATGAAGATCCAAATAAGATGAAGAGAGATAGTAGAAGAGGTAAGTGTTCTAGAATTTCAGTGTAGGCTGGGTTGTTTGAACAATAAGCAAATTTAAATGTTCTATAAATAGATTGTTATGGCTTCAGTGGAAAACTTATTCTATCATTGACTTTATTATGCAACAAAACCAAGTAAGACCAACATTGGACTATCTTGACCCATTATTAAACAGATATTGTCTCTGAATGCCCACTAAGGGATTCCAGGCACATAAGTACGGTGTTAAAAGTAAATATCTGATTGTTACTTGAAAGTTAATATTTGAAACACAAGGTCGGAAGTGTGAAACTGCATAAAATAGGTTCAGTGAATAGGAAGAGTTTATCATCAGTCCTCATCAGTCTGCAATGCAACCTCACCAATTTTGTATGGAATCAACCTAAAAATGAGCATTGAAGCACATGGGTTAAAAACTAATGGAAACCGGGCCAGTGACTTCTAACAAAAACCATGTAGAAATAGAAGGGAAAAAAAAAAAAAAAACTTTGCTTTTTTTTTCCTGTTCTGTTTGCTGTTCAGAGTTATCTTCTTACATGGGGGTGGGCTACTCTTGAAGGATCTACCAAAAGTAAGTTTTTATGTTCACTTATCCTGCTATAGAGATAAGCAATAGAAAGCAACTGAAAGTTTCCCTACTAAATAGGATTTGATCAAGTGTGGGTATGGTGGGTCCAGTGGGTCATGCTGCTACTTCCACTTTCTGCAGTAGAGAGCCGTAAGGTCATAGGTGGAAAATAAAACAAATCAAAACAAAAAACTATTCATAGAATGTAAGTTCACTAAGCTTCCTTCATGATATGTTTGACCCGTTTTCTTGTTACTTCTAGCCAGTTTACAGAATTTATTTTATTACTGCACAGATCCGCAGACCATATGGAAAAGCAAGCATGAATATCTGGTTCATTAGTCTTCTTAATACTTGTTTTATGGAGTGAGCATTTCTGAAAATGTTGATAAATACAGAAATTGACTGATTCCTTTATATCTGTGTATTCACTCCATTTTCCAATCTTCAATTTCTAATCTCATTTGTTCTATAGAATAAATCAAGAAAAATACAAAAGAGAAATGCTTATCACATGCTATCTCAGAGTCACTGTTTTGAGACTTCATATTTTAGTGACTTTTGTTGGTGGGGAGGGGGACCATGTGAAGTACTAAGTGCTGACTACCAATTTAAGCATAGAATTCCTGAACGAAATTTCCTGACTACTGGTTCTCAGTGTGGGCCTCAACTTCTCCAGGCATGCTACCTTGCATACCACAGGCCGGTGTTTGTTATCAGGCTTTGGCAAAATCCCCATGAGGGAGCTTGTTACAAATTTTATAAGCCACACACCTAGAACTTCTGATTCAAGTTCCAGAGATGATTCTAATGTAGTTGGTCCAAAGCTAAAACTTGGAGAAATAATCTATCGACTGTCTACTTTTAATTGTCTTATCATACCAAATAATTAAGATATATCGTATTTCACTACATATTTTATAAATTAAATCAAGTTAAAGTTCTGAAATGAAATATATTAGGTTGGGGCAAAAGTAATTGCGGTTCTTGCGATTAAAAGGGATGGGAAAACCGCAGTTATTTTTGCGCCAACCTAATAATAGCACAATTGAGAAAGAATGGTAAATTTGGTGTATTTGTGTATTTACATTGGTGTATTTATCTCTTTTTATATAGAAAACTCTCTACTTCGGTATATGAGCAATGAAAAGATTGCTCAAGAAGAATACATGTTTCAGAGAAACAGCAAAAAGGACACAGGGAAGAAGTCAAAAAAGAAGGGTGATAAGAGTAATAGCCCAACTCACTATTCATTGCTACCTAGTTTACAAATGGATGCACTGAGACAAGACATCATGGGCACTCCTGTGCCAGAGACCACACTATACCATGTAAGTAAAATTTCAAAGACTCTTTGATACAGTTTTTGTTGAGAGACTGGCAAGTGACTCTTTTGGGTAAAGTCTAGGTTATTTTTATCCTTTTACTAGATTTTCACAAAAGAGCCTAACTTTAAAGTGTATACCCTTAAAAAAATGATGGGTAATTGATTATTTTCCTAAGTTTACGTGTTCAATGAGTCCATAGTTATGGCACGTTGGATTTTTAATGGCATAACTTAATATGCACAAAATTGATGGAGAACAATAATAAATAGCTGATTAATCATCAGTGTGATACTATGCAATGCACAGATAGCTGCAAAATTCAACATTAAAGATACAGTTTTAATATAGTCATGATTCCATTTGAAAAATGAGCATCTATTATTTGCTAGACATGAAGAGGAGAGCTAGAGGTAAAATGGGAAGACATGACACACCATTATATGGGGAGAAAGACATGCTGAGAGTCCCAGTATAACTTAACTGTTGTAATGGGTGGGTGCAGAAAGTAGAAGATGAACATAGGAGAAATAGAGCCTTAGTCTTTAGGGGAAGTGAGAAAAGGCTTCAGAGTGGGGAGCATTTGAATGAAGAATAAAATATAAGTAGCAATATTTTAGTGCGAAGGCATATGCAGGTACACTAAAAATGTGTAAGAATGTGGCATGTTCCAAGGATTTCGTGTGGCTTATAATTGCTGGTTTATTAACAATTGGAGGAAGTGGCATGAGGAAGGGGTAGTAGATGGGCCTGGAGACACAGGTAAAGGTTAGATCAGGAATTGTATGATAAAGTACTTAGGTTCTTTCCTGCAGTAATAAAGAGCTATTGAATAATTTTGAACTGGGAACTTGCATGATCAAATCGGCCTGTTGGATCTCTCTAGTGCAGAGCATCATTTGAGAGATCAAAAGCAGGGCCATTAAGTCCAGGCCATATGGATGATGAGAAACTAGGATAATGGCCATGTGGAAGCTGAGAATCATGTCAGCAAGAACATTCAATCCACGAAATTATGCATTTTAAACCATTTTGGTTAAAAGGAGTTTGTTGTGTCACTGGAACTATAGCTTCTTACTAGGAGCCCTTGAAAAACATGGACTGCAAGTTTTTAAGTAATTTGAATTACTGTGCTTAATGCTTAAAATATCAAAAAAAATTTAATCTGCTTCTGCTGTAGAAGGTATACCATCTAGGCATTCAAAATGTGAAAGATTTAATAACTTACAATTGAGTTGTTTCTCTGAGCAAATCTCTTAAATCATCTACTTATTCTATAGCTCTTTCATAAAACTAGAGTGTAGAAAAATGTTTTTATTTGGACTGTAGTGTCATTAGCACTCCTAGGTGCCTCATTCTTTATCCTCCCTTCTCCCCAGTTACATACTCTCAAGTCTCTTTCTAAGACACTAGTGCCTGTGTCAGAATCTGCTCCATTGAATGACTGATCTATTGAATTATTTTTTTTTCCCTAGACATTCAGAGTCACCCTGAAATCAGCACTCTTAGTTGTTTGAAAGGGGACCACTTTTGTTATTACCACTATTCAGAAGAGCTGTATGAGCACTGAGCTTCTTCTAGAATCTGGTGTTCCAGTCATAAGTAATACCCTGAACAAAAGTTTGAAGATGAGGGACAGATGGCCTATTCGAGAGGGTAGTTGGTAGTGAGAGATGAACCTAGAGAAGGAAGAAGAGACCATCACTTTGACTCAGAGTGTACAAATTATTAAAAATTTGGATTTATCCTGAGAGTAGTGAGCCATTGAAGGCACATTTAAATACTCAGCCTGTTCCATTCTGTCATGCGTATCCTGACAGATGTTACACTGTGTGGGGAAGGAAAGTAGTTAAGTCTTGTGAATTATGAGGTATTAAATTAGGAAAGACAGTAAAAGGTGAGCCAAACTGGTAATCAGGAATATTGCGAATATTTTTGAGGAGTATAAATTGTTACCACCTCTCTGAAGGACATTATTTAGTTATGTATATCAAGAATCTGGTCTACTAACTTCACCTCTAGAAATTTATTCTAAGAGAGAAATCAGAGTCCACTTTTGCCTCCTGTTTTTATTGTATGTCTTGAATCTGTAACATGGTATTTCCCAGATAGATGACATCTATCTCAACTAATTTTTGACAGAGGACCAGGATAGAGTAAGGAATATTGTTAACTTTGGGGGAGATCTTCCCCTGTAATGCTGATACACCAATTCCAGAGTAGAAGGCTGGGTACTTCCTAACTCATTTCTTAGGTTTAGAAGAAGAAAATATCGCTAACCCCCAAGTGCATGTTGGATATCTATAACTAATGTTCTAAAAGAGAGAACTCTAATCGGTGGGGTTTTTACTAGGCTCTTGAGTTCCCTTGAGGATCTCACCTTGCACTTATTTAGTGCTTTCACAGTTAGCAAGGGAGTTTCCACATTTAATATGTCTTTTGAACTTCACAACAACCCAATGTGCAAATAACAAAACCCAAACTCAGAAATGATTTACAAAAGCTGTGTTGCAAAAAAAATGTAAGTACTATAGTCAGGACTAGAACCCAAATCACCTACTCCAGGGGTCTTTCCGCACTCTATCCTATTGCTTCGTGCATGGTACACATGCCATATACAGAGGAATTTGTGCTTTAATGAATAAATGAGTGCATTTTGAAAAGCTTGACTTGAAAAAACATGTGTCCTCATATGTTGATGTTAATAATGTTTTCAGTGCCTGGATTGATTTCTATCCAAAATTGTATTTTACTTTATGTTACTATTTATTAAGTTAGGGGAAGCATACTGAGCTGCCGCTGTTATAAAACACAAATAGTTATTTAGCTTGATCTATTGCTGGGACAACAGAATATTACAGTTAACAATGCTTGGACCTTGGAGACAAAACAACATATACTTAAATAATAACTTTTTATATTTCACAGGAATTTCTGTTTTATTTTTACCTGTTTATATACGTTTATTTAAAAATGAAAGGCTTTTTTCTTATGGTAAATTTTCCTGAAAACACAATGTCAGTATCAATCTGTAATCTAATCGCTTTCATGATGAACCACTGATCTTCATTTTTGCCAGTTGCTCTTTTGGATAACATGGCCATGTTTAATGGAATAGGACTTAAGTGGAAGAGGACTATGAAGGTTGAGTATTGCATTTCATAGGCTTCTATCTCTGCTGTAATACTAGCTCTATGTAATCTAAAGATTTTGAGTTAAAAGTTAGAGAAAATTTAGTATGAATTTAATAGCAAGATAATATCATCATCAAACCCCCTTAAACAGCAAAGTAAAGGGGTGTGTGCATGCATGTATATAGTATGCCTTATAAGCACACCTAGAGTATAATCTTCACTGTTCTGTTGTGGAAAACAGCCCAGTGAAAATACACAAAGCAAGACAAATATTGTTTGGCTTCAGGGTTCAACTCATTATCTTATTATGAAGATTTAGAAGTGTATGGGATTATAAAATATGTGTTTTATTAATTCCACATATCTGATATTCTACTTTATATATATTTTTCTTAAATTTATTTAAAAGGAAAGTATTCACAGTGCTGTAGCTACCCTAGTCCATTGACCAGCTCTTTGCCACCACTTTCCTTTTCAACATGCTATTCCTGCTACGGAGAATGCTTTTATCTCTTTTTTCTCCCAAGAATTCCTGCCTATCTAAACCTGAAATCACAAGGAGATCTTCCCTGACCACTAGCCTCTGAAATAAATCAGTTCTCCTATTTTCTCTTATCATCCAGTAGTTTTTCTTCAAAACCTTTGTTGGGATTTTTAATGATATATTTATGTGAACATCTGCTTAGTGTCTTTCTCTCCTGTACATGGTAGGACAGGTATGCCCATGTTCATGATGATAAGCAGGGACAATTTCTCCATTTTGTTCAGTACTATATTTCAGCACCTAGTACAAATGTAGTACCTTATAAGCGCTCAATAAAAATGGTATGAGTAAGTGAATTAATGAGTGAGTGAGTAAATTTGACAGGAACTTCAGTGACTTTCTCAGTGTCTTCAACCTGCAAAAAAAGCCCCCTCCATCTCCTAAGCCAACCCCACAGGGGCCAACAGTGCAACAGGGTTAGCTGCCTCACATTCCCTACCCTACCTCCTTCACTCCAGCTGAAAACTTCAGTTCCAGCTAATTCTTGCTTGCTTCCTTTCCCTGCCATCTCATTACAAAGGTCCCAATATGCCCATCAGCCAAGCATGTTATGACATTTTTCAAAAGAGCATAACTTTATTTTACCTACTTACTGATTCTGTCTGAAAATGTGGAAGCTGTTAGCTGCCAAAACCCTCATCTAACCTGAGAGTACATGAAGAAAAGGCAGACAGAAGTTTGTGTGGTGTGTGTGTGTGTGTGTGTGTGTGTGTGTGTGTGTGTGTGTGAAATTCAGATTTGGTAAGAAAAGTCTTTAAAGAATAGCTGAATTATTCTAAATCTCATCTTTAAATCTTGTGTGACTTATTTTTCCCCAATATAATGTGCATATGACAACTTGCTCTCACGTTAAAGCTGCTAAACTAAATTAATATACAAAATAATTACTTAGGCCGAGCATGGTGGCCTAATCCCAGCACTTTGGGAGGCCAAGGCGGGTGGATTGCCTGAGCTCAGGAGTTTGAGACCAACCTGGACAACATGGCAAAACCCTGTCTCTACAAAAAATACAAAAATTAGCTGGATGTGGTAGCATGCACCTATAGTCCCAGTGACTTGGGGGACTAAGGCAAGAGAATCGCTGGAGCCTGGAAGGTCTAGGCTACAGTGAGCCATGTTTGCACCACTGCACTCCAGCCTGGGTTGCAGAGTGAGACACTGTCTCCAAAAATAGTAGTGATAATAATAATAGTCATTTATTTTAAGTCTACATGCCTGAGATGCCAGAACAAGTAAAATTGGATTATAGATTCAAGCAGTATGTAGGTATACTTTCATAAACTGAATATTGATGTAATTTTGGATGATTAAAAACAGACTTTTAGTAT